TCGTTTCTGTGTTGGTTTGTTAATGCAGTCGTCGTTAGCAAGTCGGTATTGATTTATTCCTATGAAAATACATCAACGTGTAAAGTAAAATGCAATCCCATTAAGAATGATACAGGTTTTGCAAATGGTGAAAAGTAGGTCAAATATTGCACCAATCATCCCAGAGCGTGTCCCTTTAAGCCAAATAAATGTGTGAATACACTTAAACTGTCAGCATGTCATTTGATTGCCATTATTATGCATCTTCTGGCATGAGCTGGCAGAGCCCTCTGTGTCTGAACAGGGGCTGAAAACGTCAGTTCTGGTGTATTAACCAGGTTGTATTTTACACCTGGGCTGTGGTGGGGGGCGGATTTGCATTTAAGCATTTTTCTCTTTCCCCCATTGCAACAGTTGACTTGAACTTAAGCAGGAAAGGCACATCATTACATGCAAGGGACATTGTAGCAATGCAGCACAGGAACACGATTTAAATCTGATCATTAAACTGCCGCAGCAAGAGGCTGCGAGAGACGGTGTGGATGGTCCATCTGCAAAATCTGTGCTCCTGTTGGAGGAGGAGGAGGAGGGGCGGAGGGGGGGGAGAAAAAGCAGCTGCTTGGCTGTGCTATGAGAGGGAGAGACTGACTGTTGGCACCATCTGTAGCTGTCCTTTGTGCTCGCTGCTTTATCTGTTCATTATAGTATGATACTGAATTTCTCGTGCTTTGAGTGTAAATGAGTTGAGATGCGCCTAATACCGTCAGCATAAAAAGCAGTAACTAAGTACACTAAAGATGAATAGTGTAATCTGTAAATTCATTTTGAGTTTGTTTCATCTTGCCTGAATAGCCCAGGAAGTGATGTTCTCCAGAAGCCAGCTGTACCAGATGTGCGTGAGGGGTAGATATTCATCCCGCCGAGCGGAGAGCGGAGTGGCGGAGGTGGCTGGGGCAGGGAGAGGGGAGGCCACCCCAACATCTCCAGCAGAGGAGAGCAGGCTCCTTTAGAGAGGGTTCTTGCTCCTGCTGAGCAGGATAGAGGGGGACGGACTGGTAACTCCTAAGGCAGCTACAAACAGCTCTGTTTTCATTCCATGCACAAACACTGACACAGGGAAGAGAGCAATTATTATACATGGTACATGAGTCAAAACGTCCAGGGGAGGAAAGGTTAAACCTCTCCATAATGAGTGCTGTGATAGGGATGAGTAAATTTGTTACATTTTATACCTGCAGTCTCTTAGTTTCTAAAAACATGAGCCCTTTCCAGATAACTTGTAGAATGAAACCCTCCAGCTTATCTTGAGGACCTCTTTGTTCTTTGCTGGTTTGCATTTCACCTTCATGAACGTGTGTATTGCATATTGGTAATAATGATAACTCATTAAGATCTTTTCTTATCTTCACCTCACCGAAGCAATGCTATCTCACTGGCATATTACTTTACCGGGAGTTACTGTGCTTTTTTTTTTTCGAGCAGGTTTGGCTTTTGTTTGCAGATTCGTGCCCTCAGCCCCGCCGGGTTGTTGCTTTTTATCTTATTTGTCAAGTGCACATAGGTGTGCAGAAGGAGCAGCTCCCTCCTCCCATCAAAGCCTCATTTAAGATGGACGATTTCCATTTGACACCGTAGTAATTACACTCGGCTGTGGAAGTGCTCAGCATCCACTATTACTCTGCGGCGGCTGCGTTTGGCGTTGGGCAGAACACTTTGTTCGTGTTTCTCAGAGCTCAAGTGGCCGTGGTGCGCGGGGAAAAACCCTGCAAGGCAGGGATTTGTGTCTCCAGGCGGCTGGAAAAGGGGGAGGGAGGGGGCCTTTGTCACTGGCACATTAGTAATGATATACCAGGGATAAAAGGTGAGTATAATTTGATCAAATGCTTGTTGACAGTTTCCTTGGCTAATAGAGAAGCAGCTTAGACTGACACTCGTTGCTGGAACGTTTCGCAGAGCTCTGGGGAATGCTTTCTGTGGGCTACGTGTGAGGCTGACAATTTCCGAGTGACCATATTTAGTTACATAAAGAAGCGGTGTCCCCTTTTTGTCACAGCAGAGCTCTAAAATGCCTCCCTAAACACCGCTCCTGACCTTCGGCTTGATAAATGCAATGAAATTACTACCTCTCCTTTGTCCAAATGTGTGATTAATTCACAGGAATGGCCTGGGCTTTAAGTATTTTTTCTTGTGTGGCTGTTCAACTTGAGAAAGTCCAGTTGTTTCTCGTACTGAAAAATCATATTTGTGGGTGTTCTTGGCAAAGCAGGTTCCTTTTTTTCCCCTACAAATGTGACTTTACAATTGATCTCTTTGGAATTTGTTCTACTAAATATGTGTTAGCAGTTCCTGTGAGTAGCTACTGGAAAAAAGAAGGTGATGTAGCCTGAAATGATAGTTTGCAACTGCTTATGATTATGTTATTTGGTGAAAAGATCCATTAGAAAAATAAGAAATGAAAATAAACCCCTCAATTTTAGAGAATTCTGCACGTGTCTCTTTTAAACCAGTAAGCCTAAAATTACCTGTAGAGCTCTCCTACTCTAAACCGCTGTGGCGGCTTGGGTTTTGAGTAGTCTTCTGCTTCTCACCTGCTTGTGCAATCTGTTGATTTGTGTTCGGTTCATAACACCTCAGGAAAGCACTTAGTTAAAAATGAAATACAAAGCATTTTCTTGTTCTGAGGGGTTTGTAAAGCATACTTTAAAGAAGGAAAAACCCCGAGTGCTTCCACTTGAGAACATTGCTTCAACTGCAGAATTTTGCAATTAGTCCGTACTTCGTTCTGGTGAAACTCTTCACCGTGTCATACCTTGGTGAGTTTTTACCTGAGCCACTTCTGATGCTGGAATTAAAGAGTTGCTTTGAGGCTCGATTGGGTGTTGCTAGAGGCTTTGGTGGGGTTTCTTGGCTGGGTGTGCTCATGGGAGCCAGATTTCACCTGCAGTCACTTTCTGGAGCCCTGCTTACTGCAAAGTAGGTGGTTGATGTGACAGGGGCTGGTCTTTTCTGAGTGTGGGTGCGTAAGGGAGAGGCCACGTTTTCCGAGATAATGACCCCTTTCATGTCTTCAGAAGGAGCTGCAAGCTTTTTATCCCTCTAGGAAATCTCTGCATCTTCATAGTTCATAAGCGTGGTGTTCCTGTAAGCACAGAATTACCCTCATTGACCAGAAGATTAGGCACATAATGGAAATACACATTTAGGGGTTGTGCTGGGTCAAATATAGATTTAAGTGCCTAACTTTGTATCCATACATCAGTGTGGCCATGTTCTCCTGTTTATCTATTCAAGACTCGTAGCTGATAGCAGTTTTGGAAACGAAGTCCTGCACATGGGTTTCTCTTCATGCCTCTCCAATTAAGCTTTTCCACAAAAATAGCCAAACAGAAAAGAGATCTTCTTGTTCTTTGCTCCCCTCTGTGAATGATGTCCTCTGTATGGTTTTGTTACATTTCTGTTTGTGCAAGATTAATTCTGCATTTTATGGTTTTTTTTTTTCACTCACGACAGCTATCCCACGTCCTTGTGCCCCATCCCTTCTTCAGCTCTGTGCTCAAGTTCTCTGGCGCCTCCTGGGCTGTACAGAATGTTTGTAACTTGTGTTAAAACATTGTAATGATAGCTTTTTTTTTTTCACTCACGACAGCTATCCCACGTCCTTGTGCCCCATCCCTTCTTCAGCTCTGTGCTACGTCCTTGTGCCCCATCCCTTCTTCAGCTCAGATAAACCAGTAAGCCTAAAATTACCTGTAGAGCTCTCCTACTCTAAACCGCTGTGGCGGCTTGGGTTTTGAGTAGTCTTCTGCTTCTCACCTGCTTGTGCAATCTGTTGATTTGTGTTCAGTTCATAACACCTCAGGAAAGCACTTAGTTAAAAATTAAATACAAAGCGTTTTCTTGTTCTGAGGGGTTTGTAAAGCATACTTTAAAGAAGGAAAAACCCCGAGTGCTTCCACTTGAGAACATTGCTTCAACTGCAGAATTTTGCAATTAGTCCGTACTTCGTTCTGGTGAAACTCTTCACCGTGTCATACCTTGGTGAGTTTTTACCTGAGCCACTTCTGATGCTGGAATTAAAGAGTTGCTTTGAGGCTCGATTGGGTGTTGCTAGAGGCTTTGGTGGGGTTTCTTGGCTGGGTGTGCTCATGGGAGCCAGATTTCACCTGCAGTCACTTTCTGGAGCCCTGCTTACTGCAAAGTAGGTGGTTGATGTGACAGGGGCTGGTCTTTTCTGAGTGTGGGTGCGTAAGGGAGAGGCCACGTTTTCCGAGATAATGACCCCTTTCATGTCTTCAGAAGGAGCTGCAAGCTTTTTATCCCTCTAGGAAATCTCTGCATCTTCATAGTTCATAAGCGTGGTGTTCCTGTAAGCACAGAATTACCCTCATTGACCAGAAGATTAGGCACATAATGGAAATACACATTTAGGGGTTGTGCTGGGTCAAATATAGATTTAAGTGCCTAACTTTGTATCCATACATCAGTGTGGCCATGTTCTCCTGTTTATCTATTCAAGACTCGTAGCTGATAGCAGTTTTGGAAACGAAGTCCTGCACATGGGTTTCTCTTCATGCCTCTCCAATTAAGCTTTTCCACAAAAATAGCCAAACAGAAAAGAGATCTTCTTGTTCTTTGCTCCCCTCTGTGAATGATGTCCTCTGTATGGTTTTGTTACATTTCTGTTTGTGCAAGATTAATTCTGCATTTTATGGTTTTTTTTTTTTCACTCACGACAGCTATCCCACGTCCTTGTGCCCCATCCCTTCTTCAGCTCAGACAAGTTCTCTGGCGCCTCCTGGGCTGTACAGAATGTTTGTAACTTGTGTTAAAACATTGTAATGATAGCGTAGGGCAATTACAGACTCAACTTGATAGGATAATAATGTGAGTGGTGCTTCGTGGACGAGCTTTTCACTCCTGGGGTTTGTTCAGATTGTGCCTCCTGTTCCAGTAGCTTGGATCTGCACTGGGCTGTGCTGGTTTTTGGGTCGTGCTGACTGTCACTGCCTTCTGTTTTGCAGCGCTGCTCTCGTCGTGGTGTGAGGAGCTGGGACGGCTCTTGCTGCTTCGCCACCAGAAAAGCCGGCAGAACGATCCTCCAGGGAAGCTCCCCATGCAACCCCCCATGAACTCTATGAGCTCCATGAAACCCACCCTTTCTCATAGGTGAGTCCCAGCCCTGGTCATAGGAGTGGCGGGCTGTAAAGATGGCCCACGTGGTAGATCTGTTAATTGAAATGCTTATGACTATTGACAGAGGTAGCTACACTGTTTCATGCACTGAACAGCATTACAGACAACAGGGGATCTGTAATTACAGCAGGTACTAAATAAACTCAGGTTTTGTCTTGTTGCCTGGTGCACAGCGAAGTGATGGTTCCGTCTTCAAATCTGTGCTCAGATCAAGTGGGCTTGCTTTCAGACTTCAAGTTGTGCCCTAGGGATAAGCTTCTACAGCATGTCTCTCACCAGACATTTTTCTACTGTTTATTTAAATACAACTGGCTTTTCTTGAGGTAGAGAACATTTCACTGATGTTCTGTTTTATACGTTGTGTTGGAAACATATTGTAAACAAAGCAATTGTAGAGTGAGTGTAGCCACAGATGGGAGAATTACCTGTATCGCCTTATACCAGGTTAGAATCTCAAAGCACTTATGTTAATTTAGAGAAAATATGAGCATTCAAGGACACTAGAAGAAGCTGAAGATGTGAAGCCTTTGATTACCAAATTACGGGGAGGAACAACATCTCTATTCCTTGTCTGCAGAGCCTAGGTCAAGGCAAAAGCTGAAGATTTAAGTGTAGACAGGATTAACTGCTCATTTCATGCTTTATGTTTCTGGGATATTTTTCAAGGCTTTCTTTCCTTCAGCATCATGTTAAAGAAACCACAAATAGTATAAACTGGTCTTAGTATAGGGCACTTCAGTAAGGATTATGAGAATGCGGATGAGGCCAAATTCCATGCGCCTAGATTCTATGGTAGCATAAGTAACTTGAACTTTTGTGTTGGAATGGAGTTAAGGACACCTCTATACCAGGGCATTTGCATGTGTGAATTAGTCAGGAAACCTCGTTTGTGTTGGGGTTTGTTTCTTCATTTTTTGTGTGTTTATGGGAGAACCATACACACGCTATGAGTTTTATTATAGGCATTGAGAGTAAAGTCCTTTTTTTTGTAGTATAACTAATATCACTGATTTTTCAGAGTACCTGCATTGCCTCTTTTTTCAGTTGCTTATGAAATGATCGATTGCAAACCCAGAAAACCTTCTGTTCTAAAATAACTTATTTTTACACCTGGGAGCTTTGCAGAAGCCAAGGTGAAATTAGTGGCCAGTCTGCAGAGAAAGTGTGGTGCGGTGTATGTGCTCTCTTAGGTGCAGTTTTGTAGTTTTTAGATGCCTGATTCTCATCCGACCTTTTAGCCTCTGTTCCCCTGGAGTCCATAAAGTAAGGATGAAAGCCCTGCTGTATCTCACAGGGACTGTGTGCTGTGTTACTAGATAAGATAGGCACAACTCTTTTCTTTCATGGCAGTTTTCCACTGAAACTCTGTCACATGTCAAAAAATAAATACTTTCTTCTGCTACACCTAAATACCAGCGCTTCTGGCAATACTGGCAATACCCAATATTCTACCTAAGAGAAGACCATCCTGCCCAGTATCAAACAGTCCCTATAAGTTTCTCTTGACTATTGTCTCTTGACTACCTCTAAATTACTGCTGTTTACCTATGAGATGCCCCTCCAGAAACAGAATTTCTGTGGCGTAACTTCTTATCTATAATAACTGCAGCAGCCTCTTAGGGATTTGGACTATCTGCATCGCTGCTTCGGTGATGCTGTTGTCTCATCTGTAATTTAGCCATAACCATGACTGCTCAGAATCTCTCAGGTAGTACATTAGAATGAGACATCTTGTGGCTCTCTTCTTTTTCCAGCTGGAACTGTGTATTTTCATGGATGTTTTATAAGCAGTCTATAAGAAGTGAAGTGTGGGGTGAAGACGAATTGAGTTTTCTGTTTGTTTCACTGAAACACAAGATGAAAAGCCGTTAAGTAGAATCCCAGTGATAAAACTGTTGATAAAGCAACTTGTGTATTTGCATTAGATTACATTTGGTCAAAAGCTTAGTATTAAAGTTCACAGTTTCTTATCTCTAATTCACGAAGGTTTTGTCTGAATTAAAAAAAAAAAAAAAAGCAGAATGCCTTGCATTTCCTACAAGAAATTGACGTAACCAGCTACTTCAAGTTTTGTAGAAGAACTAGGTATTAAACCAGAACAACCAAGAGCATATTCAAGAACCTTACATAGCTCAACAGAAGGAATGTAAGTTATGTCAGCTGTGAATATCACTAGACAAAAAAACCCTTCCCCTGTCATCAGACTATCTTGAGTACTTCACACAGAAGATTTTTGCTGTTGCTTTTACTAGCAACAGAATTATCCAGAGCTCTAGTCAGGGACTAGAATCCCGAGTTACCTGGTGCTACAGAAACACAGCTCCTGAGTCTCAAAGTTGAAACAGGGCTCAGCTGTTAAATAAATTCTGACTCAAAAACGTATCGCAAGAATCTAAAGATTCATATTTAAGAAACTGTGGTGACATACACTGGAGTGAATTTGGTTCTGGCCTATTTTTAGGGACAACCTTTTATTTTAAAAAAGTTAATTGAGTTGTGGGAGAAAACTGAAGTGGGCACATCAAGGAGGGATTTGATAGTGTTGGTCAAATGCACTTACAGAGAGCAGAGTATAAGCCATACAAGGATGTGCACACATGCAACAAATGCTTTCAGAGCAGGGACTGTATTGTGCTAATTTCTTTCTAAATTTAGTTTTTCATTAACAGAATGATCAAGTGTTGCGTATAGAACAAAAATTCAGCCAAATACCTACTTCCTAATGTAGGGCGGTTGGTTGGGCTGCAAACTCCTGTGCTTTATGAACAGCTTAAACACTGGATTCTCAAAAAAACCCTCTCAACCTTACTTTTTTTTGAAGTCAGTGCAGTGTAATAATAGTTAGCTCCCACTTGAATGTGAGATTCATTGAGGTTTTTTCATGTATTTTATTTTAAGACTTTTTTACTGATTCCTGTGGATAAACTTCACTCCTGTACTGAAGGACCAGTATGAGACCTATCCACCTCCTTAATCCTGTATAACTTCTAATTTAAGTCCTACTTAAAGGATTGATGGGGGACTTAAGGAGAGGCGGTAGCCTTTGGGCTGGGCCTTCTGCATAGGAGTGAAATTTCATGCTTTCTAGCTTGCAGGGAGTAATGTAAGTTCTTTGTGTTGTAGTTAGGAAATCCAACATAATGTCTGTAATAACAGATACTACTCAAGGTGGCTGATTTTTTACTTTTAGATGAATTTAAGATCTTTGGCAAATGCTGTTATGTAAGTACAAGTTATTGTCATTATACACCTTCCTTTGCTTTAATCAAGTTAACTTAACACTTCATTGCATTAAGTGGTGGACCTTTGCATGTGGATCAAACTGAATCTTGGTTGACATGGGTGCAGATTCCATCGATCCCAGAGAGAACTACACTTTACTTCAGTTTAAGGTGGATCTGACCCCTGCAAGTTCTAGGGGGCTTCTCAATTTTGGCGTAGCTTGTAGTAAATCTTACTTTGCCAACAAAACCACCTGAAAATAGACAGCTCGTAGTTGCAGATTGGTGTGTTGTCATGAGCATTCGTTGGGTTCTTACTGTCTTCTCTCTTGCTCCAAATTTTGGTCTTCTGTATTAATTGCCAGCTGTCTTGCAGTTAGTGACCAAAAGGTAGTAATGTCTGTATAGCGCTGTCAAAATTTATGAAAAATATGAAGGTAAAATTATTTTTATCACAAATTACTTAGTGCCAGAGGTTTTGAGAAAATTAAACAGTAGATCAAATTAACTAGTAATTCAATATTACAGTAGGTGCTTTATTTATTATCATTACTTTTCGGGCAATTGCCATAAATACCTTTTACTGGTTAGACTTGCTTTACAAGCGTGCTTATTTTTAGTGTTTGTTTTTTCCCTTTTACTTTACTAAGAGCTGAACTTTCCACATGGGTAGGAGCTCTCAGAAAAGAGTGGCAATTCTGTACCTGAGTTTTTCCTGAGTGGTTGGGATTGGCTCTTCGTTGTTTGTTAAGAACCAGGAATGATCTGGCTGTAACATACCAGGAGGAGCAGTGTCAGCGTTTCTGCAAAGGTTGCTGCCTTTTCAATTTTGCCATCATAGGCGGTTTTGACCGACAGTGATAGTCACTTTAAAAATGTCTGGATGAGAGAAATGGTTAAAGTGAAAGGTCAGGTGCAGCACATACAGGCTTTTATGAAAACAAGCACGTTGTGCGTGTTTTATACCTCGGTTTGAAGTCGGGGATCACTTCATTACTGCGTGTGGCTGTGACGTGCAGGAACAATCTTTGCAAAAGAATACAAAACTTTTAGGTGAAAAGTAAGATTGTTTCAAAGCCTTTTCATCTTTCTGTTTGTGAAATTGTGAAATAAATATAATTTATTTATATATTCAGGGGCTGAACAGATGGTAAATCCTAATATAAGAGAATATACCCAGTAAAGCAACCTGTATTAATTACTCCTGATTCTGCAAGAGCAGCCTCTCTTTTTCTTCTGTCTGCCTTTCTGTCAAGAAATGTTAAAATCCACCATCAGGTGAAAGTAAGGGACAAGTTCAGAATCCAAAAATGTTGCTGCAGAAGTGCCATTTCTTAAAGAAAAAAAAATGACCTCAAGATTTGTTCAGAACAGTATTAAGTGAGGCCACTGTTGCTCTGAGCATTGTAAAGACAAAACTGGTTGCCTGAAAATACTGCCCCAAGACTTTCTTGCCCATCTCGTCCTCCAAGTGAAACCATTGGGTCTGGTTTCAGCGCTTTGACTTACTATGGGGAGGAAGTGGAAGAAAATCATAAAATGTTGAAGCGAAAAGCTAAAGGGTTAAATGGCTAAAAGCTAAAATGGCGAGTACTCTGTAGTTGAAAACTGATGTGTAACTATGAGCTGTTAGTAATTAAACATGTAATATTTTCATGTGAAAAAGGTGAGATAAGTTTGTGGTCAAGTTTGTGGTAACAGGAGAGACTGAGAGACATGATCTCTGAGAACAACAAGGGGCAGCTTAAACTT